TTTGTCCAATATTTGACCGTAGGAACTTTGACCTCAACAATGGTCTCTTTATCCAGTCCTGTTGAAACATCCCAGCATTTTTATTAACTAAGAAAATAAAGGTTTTCTTTTTTGTAATGGGGGTTGTAACATTCATTTATGTTATGTTTTTGTACAATGTTTACATCTACTGTACATTTTTAGTGCTTGATATTTTAGGATCTAAATTACTATAAAGCCTTGTATTATGCTTGCATCCAGAGGTTTCCATTTAGTTGGAATATGGAATGCTGAAATGCAGAATGAGTAAAACAAATATTTGCATTGACCAATTTACTGGGGTTGGGTATCTCATCAGGATAATGGTAAATACTAATGATAATCTGTTGTCATTGCCTCATACATGGTAACAATGACATTAAAAATAATATTATTTCTATATGGGTGTCACTAAAGGAAGGAAGACAGTTTTCATCTGTGATTAAAAAAAAAATTATATCTATCTCAAGCAGTTGGATTTTGTGCACCTCCTCACGACAATGTCCATAGAAATTGATTAGGTTTTCCACTCATGGAGACACTGCTGAACTGCTTTCCTTACACAGAGGTTTGTTCATTGAGATAAACCCATAAGAAACAACTGAGGGAGGCAGGGAAAAGACAAGTGTGTACTGCTGCTGTTTACACTGCAGGAAGTTGCAATCCTAAAAGTACTTGGTCTGCATCCTCTCTTCAAAAACACTATACAACGATACATTAATGTGTAGAAAGTAATCTGCACGTTTAAAATTGATGCCTGGAAGTCGTTAAAAATGAAAGAGCTTTTAGAGTTGGCAGGTGGCGATCCTGAGGTTTGTGCTTGTACTCCTCTACAGGGAATCATCTTGGGCAGCATCCTCTTCCCTCTCCGCGTCACACTGACAACTTTACTTTTCCTCATCACCTGGCCTTTGGCGCGACTAAGACTGGCTGGCCTGTCTCAGGAGGAGTGTTCCCGACCCGTCAGAGGGTGGCGCTACTGGCTCTTACACCCCATAGTCTGGCTTCTTAGTAGAGCTGTATTTTTTTCCCTGGGATTCCTGTGGGTGAAGGTCAAAGGCCGCAGGGCTGACTTGAAGGAGGCGCCAGTGCTGGTTGTTGCACCTCACAGCAGCTTTCTGGACATGTTAGTTCTTCTTCCAACACAGCACCCCACCGTGGTCTCCCGCTCAGAGAACAGCAACATACCAGTCATTGGAGGTGAGGAAGTGAAATGACGATGTTAGTTGAATTAAGAGATGTAGAAAAAGCCTGTAATCTCAGGTACACGTTTGTGTAGCTTTGTTTTAATCAACTGCTCTAATTTGTTTGAGGACAATTTGTTTTTTCTTGCTTAAAAAAACTTTTTTTTTTAAATTCTGAGAAGTTCAAAATCTCAATCTTAATCTAAATTTTAGAGAAACCTAAACAAAGCAATTATACTAGGGTATGGTGTATAGTCCGATCTGGGCTTGGTTGTAGAGATGAAACAGAGTCATGATTAAATAATGAACCTTCAAACCTTAAAAAAATACCCAGCAGATGAGTGTGAATAAGATGATACTGAATTGACAGCTTGACTGATCGGTCTGGTTGCAGTTGAATGATGACAAATGTGAAAGCTGTCAGTTGCAAAATGACTGTGATTTTTTTATATAAGAAGACAACGGTTTCAAAATTTTAAAAAGTTATTTTTAATATTGTCACCTTTTCAAGTTTTGCATGCAGTGTGGTAACTTGATTTACCTGATGGTTTTTTTTTGCCCCTCCTTAAGTTCACCCTCGTCACTGACAACAAACAGGTGTAGAAGACATGTGTTGAGAGTCGTTCCTTAAATTATCTTTTTCTCCTTTAAAAACATCTTATTGAAACCAGCCCAGTTTCCGACTTCTAATCTTGGCATGAAATAACCCGGATGACTAAGAACTTACTGTACACAGACAGAATTTGATGTAATTTCATGACTTTGTTCACTGTACTGGTAAACATCAACCAAATAAACCCAATGATTTGTATACTTTATGCAGGGTCAGGGACAGCAACACTGTAGCCTGTCTTAGGGTTTAATCAGATAACCTGTGTCTGTTCTGGATTTGCATAGTTCATAGGAAAGAGTCCACATGGTTACCATTGGGTTGTGATAGTGATCTCTTTATTGAGGTTTCTGTGATTTGTGTTTTTTTTTTGTTGAGGTTGTTGTGTTGCTTTCTGAAATGTATGGTGGAAGCTCTAGTCAAGTTGACCTAATGTTTTTTATACATTTATGGATTTTTTTTTTTTTTTAACTCAACTGCTTGTTACTTACTTTGAAGACACATTCCACGTTACAAATTAGTCCAGTGAAAATGAAGGAATGCAAGGAAGTCCAAAGAAAAATAACTGGCTCCCTCCTTATGCTACCACTTGAGGCCACTGCTTCCTGTTTAGCTTTCTTGACTGTTTAATCCTGGTTTGGTTTAATTCTTATTTTTTTCTCTTCTTACACTCAGCTTTGCTGGAGTATAACCAGTCGGTGCTAGTGAGCAGGAAGGATCCAGAGTCAAGGAAAAAGGCTGCCACACAGCTCAATGAGAGGCTGACCTCCAATGGCTACTGGCCACAGGTACAGAGGCTTAAACAAGCTGTGACTCTGCAGTTTAAAACTCTGTTAGACCACGAAAACAGGAAATAACACTGGGTTGCACAGCGGACATGTCAGCCGGGCTGGGTATCAGCGCCATCAGGACGATTGTGAGACTTCTGTAACTAAGCCCAAACGAAGATGCTGACACAGATGACAGTTAACAACCCTTATTTTTCTTTATAATAATGTGCGATCCTGTGCTGTGTCATATACGGTCCGTCTGTCTTAGCCAATATGCGCTCCTCTGTTCACTGTGTCGCCACTCCTGCGTGCTCCCTTTTGCAGCTTTGCGCTAACCTCCGCCACGCTTCCAAAATGTGCATTTATTTATCCATCATCGTTCGCTTATCGGGGCCGGGTCACAGGGGTAACTGTCAGAGCAGGGACACCCAGACACTTCCTACAGCTCTCCTGAGGGGATCCCGAGGCGTTCCCAGGCCAGCCAAGCAACATAGCATGTCCTGGGACTTCCTCTGGGTCTCCTCCTAGTGGGACACGACCCGAGCACCTCTGGGGGCAGCAGGCGTCTGGGGGGCATACAATGTAAATGCCCATACCTATAATTTTCATTGAATTTTAATTCATAATTAGAATGTATTTTGTACTACATATTGGTCTAGATGCTGATGTTTCCAGAGGGGACGACAACCAATGGACAGGCTCTCATCAAATTCAAGCCTGGTGAGTTTTTACCATCTGAAAGTCATGACATTTTATGTCTGATCTTTATGGCTGTGTATTTCTAACATGAGCACACATTCAACCATTTTAAACCACAAACAATGGCATACAATCAATTTATCTTCTTAGTTGACTGTAGGTGTGAATGACGTACAAAATATCGCAAGCAAATTTGCAGCTGAAAAGGTTTTCAGATCAATTCAGTCAATGAAACGAGAGGATGCCAAATGTGTCTTTTTACATAGATCTCTTATCAGTATTACAGGTTTTATCAGCCCATGTCTGAAGTATTATACTGACACTGTGCACATTAAAAAACATGTTCATCTCCTTTTAGATATGAAGGAGTGAACTGTGGTCAAAACAAATGTTTTTTTGGGAGTTTTTTTTCAAGCATTTATTTTTTTCATTTACTTCTTACCTTCTGTGTCTTTGACACTTTTTCTCTGTCTCCTATCATTAGGTGCCTTCCTCGCTGGAGTCCCAGTCCAACCTGTTCTGTTGCGTTACCCCAACAAACTGGTGAGTGGAAAGAAAAAACAACAACAGGAGTGACTGCCTGAGTCACTGATGCACACAACAGCTATTTCCTCATCATAGGAACATAGTGAAGGGATAAGTCAACACTTATATGAAGTCCATTCAGATTTATGGCCATTTTTGAAGTTTGACTTTGACTAAAATTCTGTAGTTATACAGAGGTGTGTCATGTTCAAATTGTAATCACAAAAGGCTCCTACATCAGCAAAGGTGATGACTGTCATTGATAAGACTCTGATATATAGATACGCTTTGTTTACAAAAGTAGTTTTTTTTTCAGAGGCTGCCTAAGAGGCCTTTAAAGTGATAGTTTTGAATGGGAACAGATGTTTGGTCTTTTCTCTTTCTTTTTTTTCTCTTTTTACCTTTCTCCGTCACCTTGTCACATACCTCCTTCCTGACTGTGACACTGCACACCAGTGTTTACTCACTCATTCCTGTCAGGGTGTGTTGACAGGGGAGTGTGAGCAGTATTACACACATTTCAACAATTCTATCAGTGTGGGATCTATAAAGTTCAGTCTAATCTAATGGCTGCAATAAAGAATTACGGTAAATGTATTCCCTGTCTCGGCCCTGGCTGATACTGTTAAGAAAGACTGTTTTTGTGTGCGTCTCTTTTTATTGTGTCCACTGTTTGACAATGGTGTGTTTATGACTCTTCATCAGGATACTGTTCGCTGGACGTACAAAGGAACAGCCTGGTAAGTTTTTGTGTTTTTTTTTTTGTTTGTTTTTATATATATATATATATTTATTTATTTTTTAATTAATTAATTAATTAATTTTTTAATCTTGGAACTGCAAGGCTGCACAGATGTAGAGTCTAGAATTGCTTCAGTGTTCAAACCTGTACACATTATAATTGTGGTGTAACCTGGCGAAAAACACGACAGCTATATTTTTGTCCTTGTGTATACTTCCTGTATGAACAGTCATGTATTTTACATACAGACAGTACAGATGTTGGTATGGATGCTGCACTCGGAGCATATGTGTCATCTCAACTGACACATTTATATTAATTAGTTTTTTATGTAGACAATAAACTTGATGTCTTTGTTCAAGGTACGAGGCTCTGTGGCACACGACGTCTCAGTTTTACACCAACACAACAGTAGAGGTATGATTACACCTTTTACAACTGTGTGTGTGTGTGTGTGTGTGTGTGTGTCTGTCTGTCTGTCTGCTGGAAAAAAACTCACCTGGCTGCTCTCTGTCATCACTGACTGGAGTAACAGGTGGATGCCATTGATCTCATTCAGGAGTTATGAAGGGTGTGGTCAATGTATGCCTAGATATTTCTCTTACCTTCTATTTTCTTTAAATTTCTACTCTGAGTACACACAGTTCTAGTCAAATCATTCCAGCTCTGCTCGATTCTTTAAATTACTCTGTCTTTTCTGATGTTGGTGTAATGTTTTGTTTTTTCTTTTACTGAAGAGGAAACAACAACAACTTGTTTGTCAAATGCTTCTGATTGTAGGATTTCAGATAATCTAATGTTTCTATCTTTTTCAACAAATGAATGTCAGAATTCTTCGGAGCTATGTTCTTTTTTTTGTGCTTATGGTGTAAAGGCTGTCGTTTGTTTATTCCGCCTCCTGTGTCAGTGTTAGGTGACGAAGCTTCCTTATGGTGATGACTCAGTAAGGGTCATCAACCTTTTTGAAACTGAGAGTCACTTCAAGGACACTCAGTAATACAAAGAGCCCTGTTGATACAGACTTCCTGAACAATTGAATAATAATAAGTTCTAGGACATACAATAGTAGACATTCTTAGCATCACCATTGCACCCATTTGAATATCATTGCCAGTGGAACTGATTTAAACAGTAACAATTTTTGACCCTCTTGTTGACTAGTTTTATTTTAGAACATGACCCATAGGCACATTAGGTAGTCCATGGGGGCTACCAGGTTGCCCCCTGGGCACCACATTGGTGACCTCTGACGAAGATGATCTGAAGTGTTAGTTTACACTTCAGCCTTGTAGGACTTTAAATGGAAAGTGACTACTTCACCAAAGGAGCTTTAGAAATGTGACTACACAACCTTTCACAAGGAGGAAAAATATGAAACTGCAGTTTTTAATGATTTCCAAAAAGGGTAAGAACATTCATAAAAGCATGTATGTACATGCATTTTTTCTTAAGTAAATAGATTTCTGTCTTTTTGTTTGTTTGTTTTTTTCTTTAGTATTTGCCAGTCTACAACCCTTCAGAGGAGGAGAAGAAAAACCCAGGTCTGTACGCAGACAACGTCCAGGCACTCATGGCAAAGTAAGGTTTCAACTTTATTGTTAAGAATATTTGGGAAAACTGTATTACAACAGTAATAAAATGTAACTTCTCGTCTCCCACAGGGCGCTGGGAGTCCCAGCTACTGATTATGTGATGGAGGGAGGAGTTCCTGTCAGTAAACTGGGAGGACTCTCTCTCCCACTGGAGTCTCCTGCCAGGGCAACTCTGTCACTGCTGCAGAAAGCTGGGTAAGACCAGACAACTGTCCCCGCTCTATTTGTCGTCCTCACACTCTTGCAGATTCTTCACTCTACTCCCTCTCATCGTGTATCAGTCTGCAGACACCAGACGTGGAAGCAACTCTGGAGCGAATGAGTGACAGGTGCCAGTCTGAAGTTCAGGGGTCAAAGGTCTGTGCCGAGGAACTAGCAACTCTGCTCGGACTGAAGGACAGAGAGATGGCAGTCGAGCTGTGTGCTCTCTATTCCAAGGTAGGTTTTTACACAGCACACTAGAGGGCGCTGTCTTCACTTAGTTATTTTTATGTGGAGTTTGTCAACACTATAATTGTTGCAAACTCCAAAGCACTTCATCTCAAATTTGATGAGTTTTATGTGGAGGTTTTTTAAAAATTATATTTTATATTGTAAGATGCCATGTACCAAGTGTGACAAAAGGAAATTACCATAAGACAACATCTTAGGAAGATGTACTAATGTTCTGTGCTGTCCTCAGGATGAGAGTGTGAACATCCGACAGTTGTATCTGAGCATCGCTGCAGTCTCAGGATTTGTCAGCTTCAAGTCAATGCTTCACTCTGCTTTCAGTGTGAGTTCTCCAACTTTTCATATCTGATCATTTCAAATGGTATGAGGCTGTAAAGGAGTTATGTTTGTTTCATTAGGTCTCTAAACTAGATTTGACTATTAAAATATAAGCACGTATTTGGGCACGTCAATACAGATCCTGTGGTGTATTATCCAACAGTCTTTAAATCTTTACTTTTTTAAATCACACAAATATTGCCACACAAATGCACATTTAATATCAATACTTCAAATACTTCACTCTGTAAGATTGAATAAACCAGAAGAATAAATATGTTGGATCTGCTGCCGATTTTTAAGTTCATTCATTTCTTTGTGTGTTCCAGATGTTTGACAAGGAGAACAAAGGCAGCCTGGCGGCTGAAGAGCTGTCCGGCCTGATGGGGGCGCTGCTTGGCTTTCCTCAGCACAGTACTGCTGATCTCTACAAGGAGGCCTCGCCCTGCACTGAAAGTGAGTTCCTGGGCTCACTGTTCACAAACCACTGAACTTGAACATTATTTCAGGAGCCAATATGATAAAAAGTTACATCAACATTAATGCTCTTACAATCCTACAAACAGACATGCAACACTAATGACATTAGCCTCAGTGACTTGTTTACAATTAGGTTTCCCAAATTAGGAACCAGTGGTTCCCTGGTCTGAATGGTTTGACTATAGGGATTTCAATGGCATTTCATTTGTAAAATAAGTGTAAAATATAAATCATCATAATACTGCAATATTGTGCAGTATTAAAATAGCACATTGGATTGTATTATTTGTAAAAAGAAGTGGCTAAAACATTCAAATCTTTTTGTTTCTACAGATGATCTGCTCAGAGTGCTGACAGACCATCCCACCTATCAGAGGCTGTGGAATGAGTACCTGCAGCCGGAGACGTGGTCTCCCCTGCCCTACACCTCGTTGGCCAACGGCAATACCCTAAATAACAACGGAAATTTGCACCACGGAAATGTCCACAACAGAAGCGTGCACGACAGCAATGGTTCCCTGCACCACAGCAAAAAGTTCCATTGACTACTTTCCATCAGATACTTCTTTGTTCCATGACGCTGCAGCACATGAGCACATTAACATCAGACTCTGTGACAGCAGTATTGTATTGAATTTTATTTCCATATTCTGTGAATGTCTTGTATAAATATGTTTACAAGTGTGAGTTTTATGACTATTTATAAAAAAAAGTTTTGTTAAAAGTTTTTCTATAGTTTATTTTTTATGGGAAGGGTTTTGTTTTTTTAAAGAAACCAGTTTATTCTCAAATAAATTGTTCTTACGTCCAATGGAAAACTGAAAATAAAATGTGAATTATTTGATAAAATATGGGTTATTTGTCCGTTTTCTTCCTTCTTCTCAGTGTTTTTGATACCTTTTCTTTAGGCTCATGGCCTTGATGCTGACTATTACGAGCAGATTCTTTCCATTGTTTCCTATTAAGAAAACCTGGTTGTTTTCCTCTTGTTCTTGTGACTTCAGTTTCATTTTTCTCTTCTGGGTTTTTATTTGCCTTTCTTTTGCCTCTGACTGTTTCTCCTGCAGTCAAAGTGGATGAACTCGGAGTCATATCAGCCTTTGATCTAGTCCTTGTGTTGAGCGAACTGGTCTCTAGAGTTTCTTCCTCATCCTTAGAATCTTTATCTTCCTCAGTCAAGTCTTTGGCACTTTTTGATTCCAACTTCCTTTTCTTTGTGAGGCTTTCAGAGATTTCCAACTCTGTTTCAGACTGATTTACAGTCACCTCCGCAGACGTCTGCTGATCTTGATCATACGTGTTTGGACTGTTCAGATCATTGTGGTCTAGATCAGATGATTGAAGATGATCTTCTTTCAGCTCATTTATTGCCTTTTCATTCGGTCCAGTTTCACTCTCTCGTGCTTCGTCATCCTTTGTCTTTGTTGGATTAGTCTTACAGTTATCGTCAGCTTCCTCAGATTTGTTGGAACAAATGGAATCGTCGGTGTCTTGTTTGACTTGGTTCTTTAACAGATGTTCTGTTTTTCCACTGTCACCCAATGCTAGTTCTTCTAAAACTTTCTCTTCAGTCCATGTGGTTGGAGTTTCTGGTTCAGCTGCACAAACTGGACTGTTGATTCTGGAAACTATATTTTTGCTGTGTTTGTTTGAAGGTAGATCATTGTCCACCTCATTTTGGTCACCAGAACTCTTTACATTAAGACTTAATTCCGAACCCTCACACAAACGCTCATTCACTTCTTGTGTGTCCTGCACTGTCTTTTCAGGTGTAAGCAAGAGCTCCATTCTCTCCAACACTGACTGGCAAATTTTCTGGATTGCAATTTCCGTCATGATGTTGTCTTGATGCATTTCGGTCTCAGGTTTGGTGTAAGGACCTGACTTACTGGTTTCTTGTTCCCTTTTGTCCTCCAGTTCACATCCATTTTCCAGTCCTACAGCTGTGTCATCAACCTCCTGTTCTTCTAACTCTTCCATTCTGGTTATGTCAAAGAGCTGAAAACCAATTGAAGGAAGTTAACATTGGCATCATTTGCTTTTCTGTGAGCCACAAGCTCCCAAGGAAACAAATAAAATAAACTTTCCTGATTTTTTTGATACCCAAATATTACCTCTTCTCTTGCGTCAATCAGTGGCAAAAGGTCAAAGGGCTCAGAGTCTGAATCCCATCCACAAATGAGAGTATGTGACGTCTCCGTAGTCTCCTCCGGCTCCAGCTAAGTGCGACATGAGTGGGACACGTCATCAGGTCACAAAGTGGTACCGCATTTTAATTAGACTGGAGCACTGGTTTTTAAAGCCAGGGTCCATCATGGACTTTCTCTGAGTGGAGGGTCACTGGAATTATATTCTTTATATACAGACACATGGTACAAGAGAAGTCACGTGTCTGAACAGACTTCTTATGGTATCAAAATAAAGGGATGTAGAATAAAACATGCAAATGCCTGGTCACTTAAGCAGTGGCGTACCATCAAAGCCTCACCTGCTGGTGACATATTTTTAAAGATTTATTATAATCACCATCCAGCATCTTATAAAATAAAGTTTTCTCTGCATTTACTTCTTCTGTCGAGACAACGTTCTAGGTCTGAAGGGATTAAAAACCTTATTCTATAGATACAACAGGCCAGACTGGACTTTCAGCATTAGTGGGGACGGAGATAAAAACAGACTTGTTGTTAGAACTAGATCGTACAGAGAATCTGTACAACAGAGGAATTGAACTCTTCCTGAAAGAAAACAGAGAAGGATGAATGTTATGAACAACTAATTTGAAGTTTTGGTGAGTAAAATGATTTTGTCTTTTTAATAATATTGTAAATGTATTATGTTATTATTGATATATGTTATGTCGCAGCTGTGGCTGAACTGTACTGCGTAGGATTGTTGCTTTAGTCATGGAGTTATTATGGCTGCATGAGTTATCTAGGACAGAACCACCCGTTATACCATATTTCTGCATGGTATTGATGGTTTCTATGGTAACAGTGATGTCATTAAGATATACATTTTTCAGGCAGGACGCCACTGAAGGCTTAGATGAGAAACACGGTACGCCACTGCACAAAATTACAATTAAAATTAAATTTGTTAGCTATTAAAGCACACCATTTTTAAGAAATCGTCTTCTTGGAAGATTTTGTTGAGGTATTCCCAAAATGATGTATTCTCCAGCTCTGGCATTTCCTGTGTTTGGACGTTGTTTTCTTCATCTCTGTTTTCCTCCTTTCCCCCTTCCTCCTTTTTGTACAAAAATTAAGTTAAAACCCAATTTTATTGATATGCGTATGAATTGAAAACATTTTCAGGAATACTGTTTTACACACCTTCAGTGTCGTCGTCGTTGTATTGTCTTCCGGGTATTTTGCATGTTTGTTTTCTAGAGAAACTGAAATATTGAAAGAAGAAAATGAGCTCTGTTGGTAACTGGAGGTGCTCAGAAGAACCCCGGTTTACAAGGCTGATGTCACCTCTCTTTCTGAATCTTACCCTTACTCTCCTTTGACTTTCTCTTTGGCCTCAACCTCTGGCCTTCTGACTGAAACGTCTCAGTCTGCTGCTCACCCGCTGACTCTGCGGGTGGCCATGAGAAACTGTGCCAAGAACAAAAAGAGACCATAGATTTAGTCAACCAAAGCCTTGACTTCTCTGACTTCCTACAAACAGTACCATAGTATCACCGGTTCAAACTGAATTACTTTTTTAAGATAACAGGTAAATGAGACCCTGCCTGTTATATACCCAGTATCTGTCACATTTGATTATTTTATTTTATTAATCCTTTAAATTAATCATAATTTGCCAAAAGTGGCTTCACGATTTGATGGGCTTTTTTTCTCTCTCTCTTTTTTCTTTGTTTTTGGTTATTTTTGTTTTTTATGTGTGTTTATATGCATATGTTATAAACTAAAGAAAAATAAGTAAATTATATTTCTGTGATTCTGGAAGTATTGTACGTTTTCAATAAAAACATTTTGGGGGAAACGATCAAGAAAAATACATGGTTTTTAACTGCTTTAGGGGAAGATTATTTTTGGTTGTACAAACTTTCTATTCTTCAAAGAACTTTAGAGTTCGTTGTTGTGTTTGTACTATGGTGGGGTGAGTCGAGGACTTGTTTCAAGCAACACTCTCACCCTTAGACGTCACTAATTCTTACACAGTCAAGTGTATTTTGGTGTTGTGTACTTCTTACTGTCCAGTAAAGGAAGCATTATGTACAGGTGCTTGGTGCGGGTAAAACCTGCGTCTGTGACGATTTTCTGCCGCTGCACAGCCATTGGGTTGGACAAACGCACAGTCGTTGTAAAGTGGAGTTTGAGAGGCATAGGAATTAATTGCTAGGGTTGACAACAGGGGGTTCAAATGAGGCAGGATAGGGGCTGGTAGGGGTAAGGGCTGGAGGTTTTGTGGTGATGGGTATAGACAGGAAGTATCAGGAAGCTGTGGGATCTGGTGTTGTGGGGGATTTATCATCAGGCCCGAGTGGAAGTGCTGATGTCGAAGGGGCTGCTGGGACATGTTGGAATCCCACTGTGTTCCTAGCAGGGTTCTGAGATCTGCTGAGGCTCGGTGAACCTCTGCAACCAGGGAAGACCTTACAGACATGTCTTCAAAAGAGTGTAAAGTTCCTGTTCTTTTCTTTGGTTTTTTAAGTGGAGCTGGCATTATTAAAGTTGTATTGCTTCCCACTTTTCTTAATCTATAGTTGGTTCTGTTTTTAAACACAACTTCTACTATGTAGTGTTGACAGTGATATCATCAAAGTCATTAACATCTTCACAGCCACAGCCATCAAAATAGCCAACACTTGATAAAAGTCACATTAAGGGATGTCATAAAATCACAAGTACACCAAGTGACGCATCATAGTCAAAACGCATCACAGTCGTTAAACAGAAACACAGTTTAAAGTTGTTACTGTACATTATTTCAAATTTTCACTTTACCGTGATCTTTTCCCCCAACCCTTGTTTTACTGTATATCTGTGCTTTTTATTTACCTGGTACTCTTTGCTCCCTTTTTCTTCCTCCGTTTGCCTATTAATTCTCTTCTTTTTCTTTCAGCTTTGTCTGTTTTCCTTTTCAGGGGTTGCTGCAGCAAATCATTGATTTCCATCTCTCATCTCATCCCTGTTCTCTCCCTCTTCAACTATCTGCATATTCTGCCTCACTGCATCCATATATCTCTTTTGCCTATTAATTCTATAAAGGCAAAATGAAATTAAAGAAAAATGAACATAACTAAAAGGCATGGAAGCCGACCAGATAAAGGGTAAAGACAAAAGGCTGATTGAATGGTTAAATTTAAATTACTTTTACATTTTATAATAAAAATGTAATCATAATATTTTTTACAAAAAATGATAATTATTATTTAAAACCATAATCAAATCCACAAAAGTAAAAAAAAAATCATGAATATTACTTTTTATTATTGTTTTAGACACAATTAGCAACAATTACAAACCGTGTACTACTTTTTGGTTCTAACAAGAGACAACATATTATATTTTAGATATTTTAATTGAATGTCATTGAAAACAAGACAAATCATCATTTTGAAAGAATGTTTGTTTGGGGACTACATTAAAAAAAATGTTTCGGAAGCGGTGGTTGATTTAGAAAACGCCACGTCCCAGAATGCATCGCGTTCGGCTGCGTGACCGGATATGAGAGAGCGTATATCCGGATACCGTAGAATGAGGGAGAAATTCCGTTGCTAACACGCTACACGTGGAGTTTCAGAGAAGAGTTTTCCAAGAAACTCGCATTTCTCAGTTGTTTTTGAAATTGAAAACTTTTGTTTTTCGTCAAGTTACTTGAGAAATATTTTCTCGCGATGTTTCTGCAGTTTTACCTGAACGAGATCGGAGAGAGAGTCTACACTTTGAAGGTAACGTGGTGTTTACGTTTGTAACAGACTAATTACTAATTACAAAGTAATGTACTAATTACAAAGACGCAGTTTGTTCGAAATTTATTAAATTATTAAATCTTGTCTTTGATTATGCTAAGGATCTGGTTATACAATAGAGAATTACACTGTAAAAGTATAAGCCAGACGAAAAACAATGTTTCCGTGTTCGTGTGCCTATATGTATCTAGACATGAAAGAAGATGCAAGAACTCATATATTACTGTATAATACAAAGCAACTTTTCAAAACATTTTATCCTGATAGTTTAACTAAGAAGACTCAGGTTATTACTTTGGAAACATATTTTGCACTTTACTGCAGTTGTCACGTTTTTGCCCTCTCCAATGTGAAACAATATACATTTTAGTACCTTAATCAGTTTTTTTACCTAAACCTAATTAGGAACATGTGACACATTTGTTCTACCTGGGCGGAAACTTGACTGTTGATCTCTGGTTAATGTCTTGCCTATGTAACAGAGGTTAATAGGTATATAGTTATAATTTCACAAAATTGTTTTATTTGTTCTACCTGGGCGGAAACTTGACGTATATATTTTTGATATAAAAAGTCAGTCACACCCAACCTCTCCCTCTTTCTTCAGACTTTGTGGGAGAGGGGCTCAGGCAGTGTCCAGCAGGAAAATGTATTTTGTTCTATATGAATTCCGTCATATCAATAAAGGCGTTGGTGACAGCAGCACGACGGCACAACGCTGAAGCCACACCGGTTACACCTATGATAAAGCAACAAGAACTTCGTCTTCTTATTAAATATAGTCTTAGGATCCATTGATACTGTGGGTTCTTTATTGTGCTTATTGGCCATGGAATTAAAACTGCCAGTACACCTAATCAAATAACACAAATACATAGATACCACATGTTTTCTGGCTCTGGCAACCACTATGACAAAAAAATGTTATTACCTTATTGTGATGTTAACTTAGGAACAGTTTAGTTCTCAAGTCATTTAAATTGTCTTACTGTCACCAACAGAAGGTGGGTCCTGATGGGACACCCACTAGCTCCGCCCACCCAGCGCGCTTCTCCCCAGATGACAAGTTCTCCCGACATCGGGTGACCATCAAGAAGCGTTTCAACTTGCTGCTTACACAACAACCAAAGCCTGTTCTGTGATTATGAAGTGGACTGGGAGAAGGGGATATGGAAATGGATAAGACCAAGACTATGATGGCTGGAGATTGGACTGTTAAGAAAGAAGCAAGACACCATTTTGAGAACTGCATATTTGTTTGTCAGTGACATTTTTTTTTTCTGTGAATTTATATTCATGTAGAATAAAACCTCCAGATGGACTAAATCCTTGTCTATTTCCATGGTTTAAATGTTAAAAATGGTCAGGTATTACCTCTGAAAAGAGTATATAATAACATAATTAAAGATCTCAACATTTCTGTGTTTGAAACCTCCAGTGACAATGAAAGAATTCATGTTAAATATGTCGATAATAACTGATCTGAGAGGAAGTTCACATGATCTGACTTCTCAGAAAGGTGACTATGTTCTCTTGAATCTAACATCTTTGGAAGAGCATGTCCTTATGTGTTAATTTCTATTTTTCTTAACATGAACTAGGACAGGTAAACAGTTGTGAAAGTACTTCATCAGCAGTGCAAACAGCACTTGTGAGACAAAACCAAAACTGCAGAGGTGATCAATGTTTCTGTAACCTCTGGGTTGCAAAGATTTAAAAAAAAGTTTCTCACCATGTCTGGAACATTTGCTTTAAACTCCAATGTTCTCACCTTTCACTATTAGTGAAAGTTGTCTCATATATTAATTATTGTTATCCAAAAGTGTCAAAGTAGTTGTGTAGTGTTAAAATGTTCGCTAAAATAGTTTAAATTTTGTATATCTAATTTAGCAACAGAGATAACTAGTACCATTATCTGTTTTTCTGAAAGATTAATCATCTACAAAAACATTTAAAAATATAGAAATCGTTGGGTTCGTCTAGTTGAGATTAGTGTTGTTATATACCGCTAAAATCCTGAAGTTTTCACTTTCTTACATTGTTGTAAAAATATTTGAAGACTTTCAAAACCATCGCATAAAGTACAGCATTTTAATTTATACGGATAAAGTCTGTACTACATTTCCCTCCTGGCATAGAAGAGACATGTCATTGCGCATGCTCCTAAATTAGGCCTACAGCAAGCTGAGTAGGACAAGTTAAGTGCGCGCTTATGTTTTTGTGTCGGCTCTGTTCTTGGATACACTCACTGGGAAATGTGCTGAGAAAACCCTGCTGGGAGTGGAGCCAAATCTCTCCAGATGTAAGTGAAAACAGCAGGACCGAGGAAACCGGTTGTAAAGGGAAATGTTAGCAAGGTAAGAGCTTGTGTCTTTTTTTTTTTTTTTTAAAAATTTTTACGGGGTTTCCCCGGGGGGGGGTTTTTTGGGGGGGTTTTGTGGGGACCCCCGTCTCCAGATGTAAGTGAAAACAGCAGGACCGAGGAAACCGGTTGTAAAGGGAAATGTTAGCAAGGTAAGAGCTTGTGTCTTTTTTTTTTTTTTTTAAGAATTGTTACGTGCGTTCACGCGTGTGCGTGTTTTGAGCGGGCTTTGTGTGGTAATCCGCGGAGTTGACAGCTTGGCTGAGCGGCGTGGCTAGTTAGAGTTAGCACTGGGGCGAAACCGGCCAGCCAACATCCGACACATCCTCCGCCCCTTCATCCCCAATTTCAAACGTGCTGCACCTGTCAGGGGAAGTGATGTTTCACGATTATACGTCTTCCCAATTGCATTAATAGTCTTCTTTTAAAATGTAAACGACACACTTTTACGAAAAAAGCATATGTAACCGTTTGTGTCTCCCCAAAACTGCCCCGCGTCACTGCTGCTTTTATACGCGGTGTTTAACGCGTCTTCGCCGCTGTCAGTTTCATCAAGGTACAGCAGTCCTGTTGTTTGATTAAAATAGTTTAAAATCATATTTAAACCACGTCTGACGAAATGTACAGCAATACCAGTGATGTTTGTGCTGCATTCGTAATAACCGTATGAGACTGTTTAACCGGTTTAAGCCAGAACTAATGTGGAACGCTAGAATGGGAAGTGAGTGGAAGCTAGCAAGAAAGCATCAGCCAATTTGTTTTTACTGACATTATTGCCATCAGGGTATAATGTTGTATGTAAGTATTACTGATTTTATGTTTTTATGTTTTTAAAATGCGAAAAAATTAAATAATGATGCCTGCAAAAATACTCTAACAAAGATGTGTAAGGAACGTTCTTGGATATTCACTGCAATTTTACAGAACGTGTTTGAAAATTTGGAATAAAAATTGAGAACAATATAGAAAGAACTAGCTGGAGCAGAGAGGATATACATCAAATCACTAAATTCTTACCACTTCGTGAATTTTCGGTAAAACTGTTAAGCAATGACATTGTCAACAATTATTGTTTAAAATGTTGTGGAACTTGAAGTAGGATAAAAGTTTCGAGAGAACAGGCTCCCCACGCAGCATCTAAACACTCACACGTCATTGTAAGAAAAAAACGAAAGCCAGTTATAACTTTTAACAATGCAAGGTCACATTTTCTTAAAAAAAAAAAAAATTAGAACCGTCTGTGCTGGACTACTTATAATGTCTGTATATCAGATCAGAGGAGGAGAATTGGACATCATTTTTGGACATTCTGTTCTATATAGCAAAAAAGTGCCTCCTAAATTATTAAAAAACGTATTTTGAAGAAAGTGATAGCAAACCTGATGTCTCAACATTTTTTAATGTGTTGCAGTCAGCAGTTATATATTTATATTAACTGTTACAATTCATTAAATAGATATAGTCTTTATGCCGTTTGATTGTTAAAATGAGTCCAGATTTAAAACAGCTTGTTGACAAGTCTAAGCTACTAAATTCTTTGTCGATTTCAACAGTGTTTATGCCTGATAAGGCTACACATTCCTGATTTTTGTGTCCTGCTCTTCGTGGAAGGTCTGATAAGTTTTTCAAATGCACCATAACAGCTTATATAAGCAGAAACTGCTTGGAGAAAACTAATTGTCTACCATGATAATAACAATATGAATTATGTGCTTTAAAAAATACTGGGAGTGAAAGTCTGATGTTTTATAACCTGTCTTGTGACAGCTGTATTCTTCAAGTAATTAGACCAAAAAAGCAAAAGTCTGCAGTAAAAAACAAATATGATGAAATCAACCAAAGTAAATTATTTTTGTTGTTATTTTTGAATTTGTTTGTCTAGACTAATGATGTCTGGTGGGCGGTTTTCAGTCATTCACTTTTTGCATTTTTTTTTGTAAACTGTTCCTTTAAGACCAAATGTAAATGTCCCCCAGCTTTCTGGATCTTCTGCATTTTTGACACACTTGAAGTCAATTGTGAAAAGTCAGGTCAATTTTTGACACATTTGAAGTCAATTGTGAAAAGTCAGGTCAGTGTCACTTTCACACGTCAACTGATTTCTTCTGATTGACCTATTTCAGATCTTATGCTATAATCCAGACGAGAAATTATGACAACTCTACCTCTTAGCACCTCTCTCTTACCACGCATGCCTCGGAAGCAGAGAGCAGAGAGTCCTGGGTTCGATTCCCAGAGGAACCACATTCTTGGCGCTTGCTAGCAGCAGCCTGTTAACAGCATATCTGCTGCTAACACAACAATTTCCTAAATATGGATCATAATAGTACAAATTTATTTTATTTTTATTTTTTAAACAGTTGATATATAACTGCGAAATAATTCAACACATGTTAAAATTTAGAAGGTTCAATTATAGCTAAAATGAAAAAACTCTTCCACCACCATTTGCTATAAGCTATTTATTTATTCCTTTTGTGGACAAATCCAGGATTTTGGGTTACTGCAATTAATATGCCAGAGTCAGCTAACAGGAAAAAAAATCATCCCAATATTTATCAACTGTAGAATGAGTGTTGTTACTTGCAATCCAATGTTAATATGTTATGACATTTGCTACATGTTAACTTCACATCCTCCAACAAACATTAGACTGGGAAAATAATAGCAAATCTCTGCTGACATGTTACGTTGAAAGTATGAACAGGCTCTGTATATGCAGATACCATGACAGATCTGTAAATTAGAGTATAGGAGGCACTTCTAGTGCCTTTTCTTAACACCAGATATTGAACTTGGCACTTATAGTTCAAATGGATCTGGTGGAGATGGGTCCAAAGTGTGCAATGCAGTCCAGTTTGTAAAAACAAGAACGTGTACCGTGCCCCTGCATGCAGAGAATGAGAGAACAGGCAGCAGCGAGTCACCAGTACAACCGGTTTGAACTGCCCTTCTTTTAATAATTAAATTCTGAACCAAGCAAAGATTCAGCTGCAATCAGCTGCCCTCTCACTTTTTTTTCCCAAGACGTTGGAGTGGGTTGTGTCCAGCACTGACTTCACACAACTAACAGGCCAACACTGTGTCAGTCACGCTGTGTCATTGTTCGACACCTCCTTCAGCTTAGGGTACTGTCATTTTGTGGGATGGTGAAAAGCCACACTGCAAACCATTCACCACATTTGTGTTGACATTTTATTGTGTTTACAGACATGTTAGAGCCTGTCTCTGTTGTTTTCCCCATGAAGTATGTTTGAGGGTTTAAGACAAAAGTCAGCAGCTGTTTACTGAGCTGCAGCAGAGGCTGCAGGGCTTGGTAGAATAAGGAATACATTGGTGATCATTTTTTATACATTAAAAATAACATTTTTATAGATAAAATGTAATTTGTTGTTGTGATGCAGTGTTTATGAAAGTACTATGAGCCTGATTAGAGCCTGTTGGTTGAACACTACACAGTGGGAATGCAGATTGTCATGCAAGCCAGGGAACTATGGTGGCCTGTACATTTTCTTGTTGTGGTTCTACTTTTAATATAATAGTATTATGTATAGTTAGGATGTTTTATTTTCCTTTGTTCTTTCTATCTGCATTTGTTAAGAAAACTTTGGTAAACACAAGCATGTCTAACTTCTGTTTCCCCCCCCCTCTTCCTGTCCCACCCTTCTTCTTCTTTTCCTGTCATGCCTCTACTGTGGCCTCTGCTGCTGTTATTAGCCAGCGTAGGTGAAATTTCTTCAAAAGACATTTTTGTCACTTAAGTCCTTGTGTCTTCAGTAGGGGCTGAGAATTACAGAGACATTTTGGTTTAGAAGACATTTATCTTCACATGCCTGTTGGCTGTCAACACGTTAGCTTCAATGGAGGTCTCCTGCTCTGAATGGACCAACTGTCGAGACAACCATCACCTCAGCATCAAATGGAAAAAAGCCTAGCCCACATTCAACTTAAGCCATTGTTGAGGAGCTAGCTACTTTCTGCCCCTGCGATCTGCCTTTTCCTACAACCCCTTATCTCTCCCATATTACCTTTCTAAGTGTGAGACCATGGCATCAGTGCGCTTCACAGTGACACCCACCAAGGCGGAGGACCTCCCAGGGCTGTCCGACACATCGCCGGATCTCAGCTCCCGCTCTGGCCCCCAGGTGCGTTTTGGCTCTAGAGAGAGTGTCAATCGCAGTGACCCCCTCAGTGAGGCGTCAGGAGGCCTGACGACCACCACTGCTACAGGAGGAGGAGGAGGAGGAGGGAGCGAAACGCCAGACCACAGCAACATGGATCAAGGTGAGAACACACCTCAAAGGATGTATTTACTTTTTATGGCTGACAAAATCACTGTTTATCACACTTGTCTGCATAACAGCATACTGTATCACTGTATTGTGTTTTAATCCTTCACATAATCTGTCAGTTTATTCGGAACGAAGACAGTAACTTGTCTGTTGTGAGAGGCTAAGGCTGAGAAATAATATTCAGGTTTAAGATGTCAGTAAGTAAGAGTAGAGTAAATGCACAAACACTAGACTCAATTAGGATGTAAATAATTGCCAACTAATTCTAGCAATTGGCTTTTATTTATTGAAATTATTATCAGTTTAGTTTGTTTCCTTTGGGACTATAAATTGAATGTTTTTGAAGGATGGAGGCTATAAAAAGCCTGCTATTTTCAATCGACGTGGAATTTATTGGAAGATGGCCAGTCATATAAATCTGCTATCCCATAAACTGCTATACTCCAATTGAAGTGCTTGAAGTGGTTTCAAAAGTGGGTAGTATTGCAGACCATACAAGAGACACAAGTCGATATATACTGATTTAGAACATATTGATTAAAAAACATTTTGTTTTGGATTCTATAGAAAACCCATCCCTCAGTTCCTGCTGTTCAGTTTACTACTAACTGTTAATACACAGACACTTTTCACATGCATTCAGCTTAGACAAGTGCACTGGTTCACCTTCTAAAGTCCTGTCTGACTCAGAAATGTGTTGGAATCCACAGGAAGCCAGAGAAGAGACACTTTATCATTGTCCCCTGATTGTCACGACTGTGCAGTTGTCATGTGGAGAGCAGTACATCTACGCTTTCCACAGGATGTTAAGAATAGCCTTACTGATTCAGAGGCTCAGTGTGAGAGTTATAACTGTGAAACAGTGTTACTCTAGTAGCTTTATCTGATCCACAAAGCCAGTGCAGCATTACTGCGAGGATGCCCCATGTTGTTTAATAAGCTTCCAGAAATAGAAACGGAGCCACTTAATCCAACTGAGCTACAATCAGGGTGTTGTGATTGTGTAGCCAAGCTGATTAAAACATTTTTGATTCATCACCCACTCTGGGTGCTACTGATGGAATGCAGAAATGCAGCAAAAATACAATCTAAAAAATTTTATATCTAAAAAGTTGCGCTCTGTTTAAGCCCATATATAGTTGTATGTACTGGAGTAAAGGCGCACTTGTGTGTTTTTACACACTTATTTTATTTTAATACATTTTTTAGAGTTTTGTACTTCTGACAACAGCGATGTTGAGTGAGAATGATGACCCAGGGCTTCTTTCACAAACTGTAACCATTAGGTTGATTATTTGCTTTTGTCAAAATGTTGAGCTTCTGTCATCAGATCACTAAAGAAACCTCTTACAAGATGTATTTATAATTTAGCCACACAGACAGATGTGTTGAACAAAATCTCTTTAATTAGGCTACGAATTAGTTTTGCTACATGATACATGAAAAATCCTGCCAGGGTTGCATAACAAATGGAATATATGCCATATTGAGTCCAGTTATTAAAAATATTGCATAATTTAATTAATTTGCCTGTTCACTCTAAAAATCTAGCCTTTTAAATGTTCTTCCGCTATAAAAAAATATAAATTTACATTTAAAGAAATGTAATAATTAAAAAGTAGTAAATAAGGAAACTAAGCAAATTAGCTATTTATATACAACTGAAGTTGTTGCATATATTGGACGAAAAAATAAAACTAGACATGAAGCAACCAATTCAAACAGCCTTGGCTAAAAGTACAGGATCCATGATTTCACTGGTTTATCAATTACAGTACATTTTCCATTTATTGTGCAACCCTACTATCTCCCAAACCAATACTTGGGCTATTCTTTGATACCAGAAGATACTGTACTATCATACTGATGCCTGATCCTGCAGGACTGTATTGCCTAGCTGATTGTAGGGTTTTAGAAATGCTATCATTACAGTTGGGGGTTTGAATCTGCTCTGCAGAGTTCTGTTACTTTCTGCCTCTTTACACCTGACATAACTCACTGCACTGGATTCAGGCTAGTCAAATCACAGACTATGATTAGGATATACACCTCTAATGATGCCAAAAGGCAGACATCCCACTCTCCCATTCCTTATTTCCTTTGGTTTTATACCTCATGTGACTGAGTCCGAGTTACGGTGCTGTCCAAAGGAAAAATTGTGACACGCTTAGTGCTCCTTAGCTGGCCTGCTCCTCTCAGGTTTGGGTTGTTGATGGTGCTTGCTTCCGGAGAATCTTTCCTCAAAGCATTCTTTGAACCTCTTCCACTCTTGAAGTGACTTGTCATGTTCATCATCATTTTGACCATTGTCTAGTCTCCTCTTGAACCCTAATGAAACATGACTGTTGTTCTGACTCCTGTAGCTAGGGGTGGACAGGTCTGCAGACGTCCTATGGACCTTTCTGTTTTCATCACTCAGCCTAACTTCCTGTGGATGACCTCCAGTGTGAATTAAATTGTTTTTAGATCTGTCAGGACTACATAGTTTTGCCTGCTTGGTCTCTTGATGCAGCTTGTCGTCTGAGTTTTGACAATGTTTCCGCTTCCTTGCCAGTGAAACGCAGCTATGGTTACAACATTTACTCCTAGAGGTAGGCAGGTCTTCAAGATTTCCTCGGACCCTCCATTGGTTGTCTTCAGACCTTTTACCAGATTGGTCATGGAAATAGTTAAGTAAATCGCAATTGCATCTGGTTGATTTTTCTACATTGTCTTGTCTAGCTTTTTTCCTTTCATGGTGTGACTTTCCAGTTTCATTGAGGTCCTCCTGATCATGCTCTAGCTTTCTTTTACCCCCTACTGGAATGGAATTGGATGAATCTGCAGTTTTCTTCCAGACCTTACAGTTGTTGTTGTCTGAACAGCAAGCTCTTTTTTTGTGCACATCTTCAGTATCTATTCTTTTCCTTTTCCCCAATATGTGCGTTCCATCATCATGGAACTTCACAAAATGACGTGAGTGGGATCTTTGGGGCTTTACCATGTTGTGAAGAACACTGTCCTGTTCGATGGTTGTGGTGCTGGATGGTGACACCTGTGGTGGCCCTGAGGCACCTTTCCCACTGTCAGAGACTTGGCTCATTATATGGAAACTTAGTTTGACATGGTTACTGTGGTGGTACAAGCCGGCAATGTGCTGCATGCTGATGAAGGGATGTTCTAGCACTGCCTGGGGTGTTATCCTTTTGGTAGCCTCTAGGTGGAGCATTCCTTTTAGCATGTCCACAAATGCACTTCTATCATTCATCTCTGCAACTTTAGCTGTATCATTTTCTGCCCAGAAGCACCACGTATATAGGAGGTCATCAAGAGATTTGAATTTAAGTGTCCTGGTCTCCATTGCCTGAATACCCAGCTCATTGTAGACCTGCCTCGGTGCCTTGAGTTTCCAGGCAGATTTGGCAGAGTTAACTTTCTGGAAATACAAAGTGCTTTTAAACCCAGCATTGAGCATGTTGTCCGGTGGCTGACCTTGAGTCTCCACAATAAATCTCAACATGTCGTATTCACTCATACAAGGGTAGAATAGAGTGCCAAGGTACATTGTTGCAGCTATGCAGCCCAAAGACCACATGTCTATGGCTTCAGTAAATGGCAGGCCCAAAATGATCTCCGGAGACCGATATGGACGGGTCTGGACGTGTGAGCCAAGTGTGGCAGCTGACACCTCAAAAGCGAGGCCGAAGTCGATAAGTTTTACTTTAAATGGTTCCCTTACATGGTCGACCAGCATCACATTCTCTAACTTGAGGTCTGCGTGAATGATCCCAGCCGCCTTTAAGTGACTGAGTGCATTAGCAATTTGCTGAACGATGGGACGGATTTCTACCAGCAAAAAAGGCTGGGGATACCTTTCCATCATGAAGTCTGACAGATTCTTATCCAGGTGCTCAAATTCCAGGCATATCTGTCCTCTGTCTGTGAACGCCCCGTACCACCGCACAATATTACATTTGTCAGGGTCAAATGATTTGATTTTCATCAGAGCAGCCACCTCTGCGTTTGAATGGTTGACATACAAGCTGCGATTCATCATTTTGATGGCTATGGTCTTCATGTTGTCCATCCTTTTGCATTTTGCAACCTTACCAAAACTGCCCTCCCCCAGAAAAGACTGCACCAAATAGCATGAGGTACCAGAGGTGAGTCTGTCCCCTGGGACTAATGTGGAGGACATTTCACCTCATTCTTGAAACAAGCATGAAATCGAACACTTGCTTCCTTTTGTGTGGGAACTTGCCCAAAGTGTTCCCAGTAAATGTGAACATGTTCTTTGCTGATATGAATCTCTTTTTATGACATCACAATATGAACTTGGCTTTGAGGTTTTATTATTGATATATATGTCATCTTTTATTTCTGGATTCTTCACCACCCTTCCCTGACTGCCCTCAATTTTGGTAAAAAGTTGCACTTTGTATCTTTGGACCTTCTGGAATGAAGACAAGCCTTTGACTAGAGTCCTTGTAGAGATAGATCTGAACGAAACACTGAAGCTCCCTCTGTAAAAAAAAAAATACAAAGACAATTACTACAGAAAAGCAAAAAATGGCCGATCGCCATTAAAACCAAAAGGAGTAGAAGAACTTCACTTGTCAGGATGAATGGAAAATGAAGATGACATAAATGTTAAGAACATTCTAGAATGTTGAAGAACAGTTGATGGAAGGACAGAGATCTTTATATTGCTAAAGGAAGTCCATAGCTGACCAAATGCTGAGCAATGGCTTTGCGTCAAAAGACACATGAGAAGAACTCTGAAGTCACATCTATTTTTATGACATAACAAGAATACCAATATCACCCAATCAGTGAAAACAGGTCACCAGGAGCGTTTGTCTAAAAGTAAAGACTAAGTATGAACATACAACATAACAAATCAACATACACACCTACATTACTAGTTTCCATCAGCAGCGGAAAGCACAGAGCCCCAAGACAATTTCATAAGAAGCGTGACCTAAGGGTACAATCTCATTTGCCTCAGATCCAAGTTTCTGGAAATTCTTAAAAATAAATGTGTTTCACTGCACATTTATTGTAGTATTTATTTCCTTATGATAAAAACAAAAAGGGAAACACAGGGTGACCAATTTCACATGGTTTCAGCATGATCTCTCAGGAACCAGTTCACTCTGTCAGAGCAGCGACAATCAGAGCAAACAGGAAGTAGTGACTGAACCGGTTCAACGATCAAACACCACAGAGACCGTAGTCTCTGTTGTGTTTGAATGTGTGAACTGCTCTATCTTGCTTGCACACACTGATGTGTATCTATATTTACACTAAAACGTCTTTATTTATATGGGAAGAAACTTGCAAATTGTTCTGAATGGTCAGTGATTCATCTTATTCCCACCAAACAAACTAAAATGAACTAGCAAACTGATGACATGCCAGTTGCACTTTAGACCGCAGTGGTCAACAAAATGAACTAGCAAATTGATGACATGCCAGTTGCACTTTAGACCGACTGTGATGGGAAGTTAACACCCTTCAACCACATGCTGCTGATGTTTTTTTATCCTGTCTGTAGTGGTAGGATAAGGAGTGCTGCTAGTACTCTATGGTACATGTCAAATGTATTCAAGTCAAGCATTAATTCCTACTCTTTTTTTCTTTACTAGTATTTTAAAAATTCCTCATACCAGTGGATCTCATGACTTAAAGGATTTAAAAAAATTTGTAGTTTTCTGATCATGTAGTTTTGGCCTTGGGTAATATTGCCCGTAAAGAAAAGCAAACACAGAAGTTGCTGGTACTTGTAGTACCACATGGGCTTTTACCCTTTCTCTTGCCCAGTTCAGTGTCACCAGCTGTAGCAGTTGTCAAAATGCATACCAACACAAAAACTGGGTCTTAACCACATGTGTCGACACTGACTATTGCAGGTGACCTTTGACCTACTGTGCAAGCATCAGGCTGAAGGTATTTGAAAAATGACAGATCCAGGAGAAGCTGCTGTAGTTTGTCATCACCTTAAATGGTCTCAAATAAACACACGGAAACATGTTAAAGGCAAAATCTTTTCTTTCTGGTTTCTTCACGTGTGTCTTATGTTGCCTTTGTCTGTGTCCAGGTGATGGGAACTCCAAAATCTCCAGTGTGTACATCAACAACAGTCATGGGGTGGATGATGATGATTTCTACGACAGAAACTTGGCTTTATTTGAGGTTTGAAACATTGTCCTCATAATTTTACATGTTGCTGCATTAAAATAGTCGTTGTCCATGACACCAGCTGTTATAATATTTTACAAATATATTTGGACTAAAATGTCAGTAAAGTGTAAACCTTTCCAGCAGTAACTACCTCCACGTTACTCTTCGTCTTTGTGTTCATTCTTCAGGAGGAGATGGACACTCGGCCAAAGGTGTCCTCCCTGCTCAGTCGCCTGGCCAATTACACCAACCTGACACAGGGGGCCAAGGAGCATGAGGAGGCTGAGAGCATTGGTGAGAAGAAGAAACCTGGCAAGGTAAACAAGACTTGATTATTTTTAATAAATACTGGGAGGAGGCAGAGTAAATGGTCTGGTTAAATCTGCTGAAATGAAATACATTAAGTTCTGAATGCATTGCCCACATTTACAAGTGTTAGACCCTTGATACTTGAAAACAACAAATTAAAGCAATATTAAAGTATAAAAACAAAAAGGTGGAGAAAGTCCTCTGCTGTTATTGACAGATGTAGAATGCATTTGTATTGTAATGTAGTAAGATTTAAAAATGAAGTATTACTCATGACAGCAGTTCCCAAACATATGATGATAACAATCACAACAGAGTAAACAATTGCTTAAGAAAAATAGAGATTTCTAACAGAGGATAACATATGTGAGGACAAATTCTTGACTTGTTAGCTCAGCAGTTTGAAGTGAAAGTACAATAGGATGTGAACCTGACCTGTAACAGCAACCCAGGCTGATAAGACAGTGACTGTGAGATAAGGGATTCTGTCTGTGTGGTTGAGTCATTTACCAAAAGGTCACAAGAGGAAAAGTTAAAGTTCAACTTTTTCTTACTCCTCTTTAATGGCCTGGATAAGCCTTAACGTGAGTCTGGTGCATCATGTGACATCATAATGTGGTTAACAGCCTGTATTCCTTAATACAGTGAAGAGTGGGTCCCCCCAGGGGGCACAACACACATTGTGTGTAGCATGGTAAAATTATTTTAAATTTGATTTTGGCCTGCATTTCCTTAAAATGTCAGCTTTTGATTCTAAATTTTACAAAGGAAATGTCTATTTACCCGTCTTAAAAAACATTCTAGACCACCACCACATTTTTTACCTAATGCACCTCCTAGTGGAAGCTCACGCACCATACCTTGAGAATCCCTGCCATATCTAAATCTATTATTTGAAACATTAAAAAGTAGTTTATGTTTTTGTTGAAATTTTAACACGGACTGTTTTCATTTCTTGCAGTCTCCACAGATGGGGACGTTCATGGGCGTCTACTTACCGTGTCTGCAGAACATCTTCGGCGTCATCCTGTTCCTGCGTCTGACCTGGGTGGTGGGCATGGCCGGGATTCTGCAGGCCCTCGTTATTGTCTTCATCTGCTGCTGCTGTGTGAGTGTTTTTATCCTGTAAATGCAGCAGGTTAGTGTGCAGGAAAAGAAGATAATGGCACAGCTACTAAATGAACACAGAGAGCCACATGTGAAGCTGATTCTGCTGTGAGAGAGCGAAACAAGTTTTAGCTTCATGATCCTCAGAACTGTCTTAAAATATATCTTCTAAAATTCTTTACCAGTGTAAAAGAAATGTCTCTTTACTTTTCAGACAATGCTGACTGCAATATCAATGAGTGCAATCGCTACCAATGGAGTTGTACCAGGTAGGTCTGCACCTCTGTCCATTTATTTTTTCCATTCCTGGATCTGCTTTTGTCTTAAGGCTGATACATACTCCACAAGAGCTGGGTAATTTGTTCTCCATCTTGTGGGAAGTATTACATCTCTTTATCTAAGCATCTTTTTTTTTTTACTTGCATTGTTTCCAAATACTGTAGTGTGAGTGGTCAGATTAACCTTAGTCTTTACTTGAATCAAAGATATTTGTTTTCATGTGTTCACATTAGCAGTACACTGCTGTTTTGTTTTATTTATGTTTTCCATGGTTCTGAGTGAGCTCTGTAATTTTTTGTTTAAGTTTTCAGGTTGTTTTTCTCTTCTTCTTCCAGCGGTGGCAGTGATGATAATGTGTTTTTTTTTTCTAACTTGTTTCATCTTTTCCTTCTCCTCCTCTCTCTGTCCTCACCCTCTTCCTCTGTACACATATTCAAATAAAGCCCTCTCAGAATATTTAGCCACCATTGGCTTTACCTGTTACGCCTCTGCTAGTCTGACTGTAGTCACAATATTATCACATTAGCATGCAACACTGTGATACTTCAGAGCTATGGGTAGGTAACATAGAGAACCAATGTCTAACATTTCACTAGGGCTGTAATCTCCCAGTCGACTGGTCGGTTTATTGGTCCATACGCTCTAGGTCGACCAAACATTTTTTTTTTTTTTTTAGGTGTGCGTGTTAATTTCATCTAGAGAAAAGTACCAAGTTCTAATAGGGTGTTTTCAGAGCAGAACATTCTGCTTTCAGAACGCCCCCCTTGTTTTTACTATTTTGGATTAGCCCAACCCACAGAAGATTTGTATATGGTTCTAGGAAGTCTAGGTCCGGTGGTTTGCAGATTTCATTTTGAGCGTTTCATTTAACGTCAGTCCTCCTCTACCAAAGACGTCGACTGTGTGGCAGCATTTTACAAAAAAAGTTTTATAACTGCAGGCACCCCCCGCCCCCCACCCTGCAACAACAGCAGCACCCCTGAGCTACACCCAGCTGGATGTTAAGCCTCCTCTATAAAATCCTTTAATTTTCAAGTTATTTTGTGAATGAGCTCCTGATCTGGTTTGTTTAATATATGTTTGTTTTTTTTTTAAAGCGGACTCGCCTTTTGTGATTAAGAGTAAAAGTTTTAAGTTAATAGTCTATTCGTTAGTCGGCCGTGAAGCTGAGTTCAAGTCGAAATTTCACAGCTTCAGTGGACCAAGACTTTCTTTGGTTGATTACAGCCCTACATTTCACATTACACTCTGTTGTTATTTCACCTGTTTGACCTCGAGCTCTGACCATCTACTTCCAGATGGTGGCAGAAACCCTGTCAGTGTTATAATAAATGTGTTTGGCTTCCCAAATATGACTGTAGTATTCTGACATCATTAAACTGTAGTTCGTTATCACTGATGTCTCAGATGTGTTTAAACCAGGGCCGGCATTTCTGCTGCTACTCTTTAGGGCACATTTACAAAAAAGCTGTTTATAGAATTAACACTCTCTCCAGGAATATAGATGTAACATGATATAGCTAGAAAATTATGATTTGTTTGCAGTTGATGCAGTTTGCATACCAATGGGACTGTTTGATTTTTATCTCCAGTTTTATCCCTGCTGAAGCATATAAGAAGCTTAGGTCCACAAGCAGCAGCACTATTAGTGTAGCTTCAAGCTCTACTCACCTGAGTGGTAGAGCTTGTCAGTGGATGTTTCCGTAAGCCTTGGATTTATTATTTATTATAATTATTATATTTGTTATTGCCTATTATTTGCAAAGTATTACATGCTGTTTGACATCCGTTGTATTATTTGCAGTAATACTTGGTCAGTGTGAAAGGGGTTACATTTTGGGAACCAAACACAGAGTTTTATGTCCTCCTACTCAGTAGTGAAAATTGATATATCTCTTGTATGACGACTTCATATAAACTGGTTCAAATTGTATCAGCAAATACTTCTTTGGCTTCATCACAGCTCAGTTTAGGTAGCCTTTGCATGTTTATGTAATAAATATCCCATACTGTTTTAAAACATCCCACCAACACAGTCAGAGATTGTAGGTTGCAGTCAACTCTACCCAGTCTGTGACTAGTTATCTTTTCTGGAATTATTTGCAGATACGATTTGACCAGAGAGTTTTTTTTTAACTTAAGTTTCATGTAGAATAATATGCTTATTTCTACAAGCATAGGATGAATTCTCGCATTTTCTCTCCCTTTACCTTCTATTATCATGTTATTACCAACTAACATCCATCCAATCTCTTTCTCTCCCTCTTTTCTCTCTGTGTTTATGCTTCATCTTCTCCTCCTCTTCCTTATCATCATTCCCATGTGTTTTATCACACTCCTCACTCTCGTCTTGATTCAACTCCCTCATCCCTACTTTCCTCGTCATTTCTTTCTCTTTTTCCCTTACCCCTCCCCATTCCTCCTTTCAGCGGGGGGCTCCTACTTTATGATCAGTCGCTCTCTGGGTCCAGAGTTCGGGGGGGCAGTAGGCATCTGCTTCTACCTGGGCACCACCTTTGCTGGAGCCATGTACATCCTGGGAGCCATTGAAATCTTGCTGGTGGGTTTTGACAACATCATCTTAATGAAATCATTTTTGTTCTGGCTCATTAACGTACAGAAGACGAAGATATTTCCAAATTAGAAAAGATTTAATTTGTTGCTCTTCAGATCCTTTTTAATTTCCTCTGGCATAACTGAGACTGTAGCTGCACCACCAAGTGCTTTCTATTGTGATACAGAATTAAATCCTGTTTTTTTTAATTTTTGTTTTATTCCATCTCAATTGTAAATTTAGGTTTCACTTTCAAATTATTGCAATTGTCATTGCTCCTTGCTCCAGATGTACATAGCACCAAAGGCGGCCATTTTTGTGTCAGACCACCCTGAAGGCGAAGGGGCAGCCATGTTGAACAATATGCGGGTTTACGGCTCCATCTGCCTCCTCCTCATGTCCTTGCTGGTCTTTGTTGGCGTCAAGTACGTCAACAAGCTGGCATCCATTTTCCTGGCCTGTGTCATCGTCTCCATTGTTTCCATTTATGTGGGTGCACTGGTCTCCGCCTTCAAGCCGCCACAGTTTCCGTGAGTGACTGTTAAAAAAAAAAAAAAGGCTAATAACCACAAATGATGTCCTTAGTTGTGACATTGATTGACATTAGGAACTGCTGTCCACAGTGTGTGCATGCTGGGAAACAGAACAATCAATGGGCACGAGATTGAGGACAACCAGTGTGCGAAAACTTTCCTGGTTCAGCTACCAGAGCCTGAAGATGGAGACAGTGTCAACGTCACTGCAGTAGGTGGTAGGTAACAGAGAGACATCTGTGATTTCTGTTGACCTATTTGAGTTCAACTTCATGACCTACTTCATTTACTTAAACAGAAAACAGCACTGTGGTCCCAGCCTTCGACACCAGTCTTCTTCCTGGTCTGCTGGAGAAGACCACATTCCTTTGGAAGCATTTCTGTCAGGGTTTAGAGCTCAACTCCACCTGTGACGAATACTTTACCTCTAACAATTTCACTGAGATCACAGGAATCCCTGGTCTGGCCAGTGGCATCATTTCAGGTATGCTCTGTGTGTGTTTGTATTTAATATAAATAGAGGAGAGTTTATTTCCAAATCTCGATGAGTATCCTCCAACCTGTGGCTCTTGGTCTTTGTGCAGCTCCTCTGCCTTCTTGCGTTGGCCCCCTATGAGACATTATGTAATGTTTGTGAATGCAACAAATGTGAGGCTGTAAAACAAAAACATTCCTGAGTTGTACATCCAATCCACCGGTGTTTTTAGCAGACAGCTTACATTCTGCGCTGTTTGCAGACAATTAATCATCGTCAAATACTGTGGAACAGTGAAAGGTCAATTTAAAATTTGACCTTGTTTTTTAACAGCAAAACAACATAGTGACACGGTCCTCTTCAACTGTTGATTGGTATGCAATCTATGTAGTATAACAGGTAAGACCACAGTAAATATGACAGTCAGTGTTTGCCTTTTGCACTTTTGGAACATTCTGTAGTATGGCTACAGTAGCCAAAACTTGATAAACTGCAGCATTTTTTATTGGTTGAAAAGTTTTTGTTGCTCTTTGAATTTTAATGTGGTTGTAAAATTTGCTCTTTTGATGTTCAAGACCATATAGCATTAGTTTGGCACAGTGGGGCCAAATGTTACTGGGTCATGGTTTGCACATCTGTGGGCAATGCATCAGTAAAAATTAAATCAGGAGTTTGCTGTCTCTTTGAGCAACACAGAAGTCTTTTAGGTTGTAATACCATTGCCCACCAGCAGGGATGACTACCCCGAAAACTACTGCAGACGAGAAAATGGAAAAGGTAAAGCCTAAATGTTAAGCCAGATTTTAAATAAATGTGGTGTCTTTAGAGAACTTGTGGAGTTCCTACCTCAGCAAAGGAGACGTGGTGGAGAAAAGCTCCCTCAGCTCCACCCATTTTGCACATCCAGCATCCACGCACCATCCATATGTGTTCGCTGACATCACCACCTCGTTTACGCTGCTAGTGGGCATTTTCTTCCCCTCTGTCACAGGTATGAATATTTTTGTCCAAGATCAGTCAGATGTTTGAATGTTGAATGGGTCACTCATGTCTATGATGTTTCCTCCTTCTTACAGGAATAATGGCTGGTTCAAATCGATCGGGTGATTTGAAGGACGCTCAACGCTCAATCCCGATTGGAACGATTCTGGCCATCCTCACTACATCTGTCGTCTGTATCCTTGATTGGAACTTGGGAAACAGTTGAGGAAATCAACACAATTTACTAGTATGAAATACTAACATGTCCATGTAAAGGGTTAGTCTCAATTGAAGTTGTCAAACAATTGAAAAGCTCCTAGTAAAGCTTTGACATTTATGAATTTGAAAAAAAGGCATCAGTTGTTGTCAAGAAATTCTTAAAAAAATCAACAGGAGTTAAATGTTTGCACTTCATTAAAAATAAAAAAGCAAAACCAAAATTATCATCATAATAATGATGATAATATTGGTTTTGCTTTTTTATTTTTAACAGTTTTTTTCTGATCATTATAATGAGTGCTGAAGTCATCACCAGTAATAAATCTCAAGGCTAAATACATTCAGACTGAACAGGATAATTGCAGTTGTTGTCGTTGTTTTTCCTGATTTGATCACGTCAGACTTGAGCAGCGTTATTCTGTTTGGAGCCTGCATCGATGGTGTGGTTCTCAGAGATAAGTGAGTTCATCTGCTCTTTTCTCTGATTATTATTAATCTTTTATAGTGAAAAAAGGGAGACATTAGTGAGAAATAGTTGAGAATCTTGTACTAAAGAAACCTGAAATGACCCGTCATATTTTTACCATATGCAGATTTGGCGACTCTGTAAACGGAAACCTTGTGGTCGGAACTCTAGCGTGGCCCTCTCCCTGGGTGATTGTCATTGGCTCCTTCTTTTCAACGTGCGGCGCCGGCCTCCAGTCACTCACCGGAGCTCCACGGCTCCTTCAGGCCATCGCTAAGGACAACATCATCCCCTTCCTGCGGGTTTGCATTACTCACTGTTCACCAAGCTCCATAAACTGTGCCTAAATCCTCTGCTAATGATCGTTTTGTATGACTTTTTTCACTCTGGCAGGTGTTTGGCTATGGGAAGGCTAATGGGGAGCCCACCTGGGCTTTGCTCCTAACAGCCCTGATTGCTGAGTTGGGGATTCTCATCGCCTCTCTGGACCTGGTGGCTCCCATACTAACAATGTGAGGCCCTGAAGCATCTGAATAATGTACCATAGGTCAACAAATAAATGATTTACACCTTCTATTTGAATGACTTCAACAGTCAGTGGTCACCATGGTCAGCTTCATAGCCAGTCTGACTTTTAATAGGAGAGAGATCTGGACTGCAGGCAGACCAGTTACTATTTCTTTCATTATTTTTTACATATGTTTCATGTGTTAAACAATAGATTGACTTTTACTTTTAAAAGTTGTGGTTGTATGTTATATTTAGTTTATTTTTATTTTTCTCTTTGTAGGTTTTTTCTGATGTGTTATCTGTTCGTAAACCTGGCATGTGCTCTCCAGACTCTACTGAGGACACCTAACTGGAGACCACGTTTTTCCTACTACCACTGGTACAACACTGAAACACACAGATACAGTCATACACTTTTCTTTTAAATGTAGTAACCCATCTCGTCTGTTTTTTGCTGTTTCCGTGTCATCTATTTCCAGGACATTGTCATTTTTGGGGATGATTATCTGTCTGGCACTGATGTTCATTTCCTCCTGGTACTATGCAATTGTTGCCATGGTGATTGCAAGCATGATCTACAAATATATTGAGTATCACGGGTATGTTGCCATGGAGATGGAACCCATCTTTAACTTTTAAAACCACCAATAGAAGTCCATAATGTTGTCTCTACTTGGTTTTCTCACATCATCAGAGAAGTAAATGTATGTTAAATGTCTGTGTGGATCAGGGCAGAAAAAGAATGGGGTGATGGGATCCGGGGTCTCTCACTCAGTGCTGCCCGCTACGCCCTCTTGAGGTTGGAAGAGGGACCGCCACACACCAAAAACTGGAGGTACTAGTCTTGATTCAACATGACACAAATGTGAAAGTTCACATAAAAGCTTAAATGAAGCTTTTATTAGAGCCATATTTTAGATTGAAAATGGTCCAATTTGACAGAAATCAAAATTATCAATAATATAACTTACTTTAGCCCAGAAGTAATTATAGTTTAGCCAAAATATCTTATGTGCTGTTCAAAAATGACTAAAAAAGGAGAGCAAAAAATAACATCAACCAAAGGAAAGCTGAAAGCAACCATGAGTTGCTGATGCATTAGCTAAATGATAATAAAAGGGTATAACAGAGAGGACGTAAGTCAACCAAAAATGAAATGAATAATTGGCTGGATACTATTGAAGTACTGAAGTACTATTGCATAAATTATTACTAAAATAGATAGCAGAGTTATGGCTAAAAGAGCACCAAAACATTCCCTAAATAGTTGCACTGTGTAGCTGTGTTGGTTTTTTTAAATTCTCTGGTGAATCCTCAGCCTGCTCATCTTTGTTTGCTTCATCGTCTTCAGGCCTCAGTTGTTAGTGTTGCTAAAACTGGACGAGGACGCCCACGTCAAATCTCCCCGCCTGTTGTCATTTGCCAGCCAGCTGAAAGCAGGAAAAGGCCTGACCATCGTGGGCACCGTCGTCTGTGGTAACTTCCTGCAGAGCTACGGGGAGGCTCTGGCTGCAGAGCAGGTAAAGGGATTTCTTTCTATTTTTTTTCTCTTTTTTTTTTAGCCGTTACCTTTTTAAAAGATAGTTTAGGATCAAGGTCTTATCTTTTTTTTTTTTTTTTTTTAGCCGTTTCCTTTTTAAAAGATAGTTTAGGATCAAGGTCTTATCTTTTTTTTTTTTTTTTTTCAGACTCTAAAGCACCTGATGGATAAGGAGCGTGTGAAGGGCTTCTGTCAATGCATCGTGGCCCAGAAGCCACGTGAAGGCATCAGTCACATGATCCAGTCCAGTGGTCTGGGAGGAATGAAACACAACACTGTAGTGATGGGCTGGCCTCACGCCTGGAGGCAGAGTGAAGACCCTCAGTCCTGGAAGACCTTCATCAGTGAGTCTCAGACAACAGGGCACAAGAGACAAGCAAACATTTCAGAGTCACGATGCTACAGCGCCCCCTCCCTTTCTTACAGACACTGTGAGAGTGACCACTGCAGCACACTTGGCTCTGCTGGTGCCCAAAAACATCTCCCTGTTCCCCAGCAACAGTGAGCCTTGCACTGAGGGGTACATTGATGTATGGTGGATTGTCCATGACGGTGGGATGCTTATGTTGCTGCCCTTCCTTCTGCGACAACATAAGGTACTCTGTCTGTGCTTTAGAACAGAAAAAGCCCTTAATAAAACCTTTGAAACAGCAAAAAAATCCCAATATACATATTAAAGTCTGAATAGCCTTTATCTAACAAAATAGCCAGAATAAACACATTTTCTGAAAACAAACAGTGGCAGCCAACAAATAAATTAGTGAAACAATATATAAAAGTTAGACTATTAAATGTTCAAAGTTCGTTTGCGAGGCTTAAGGATAAAAGTAATATAAAAAGTTATATTATAATAATAGCTAAAAATTACACATGTTCTTGTGATGGCGTTCACTCCGTTGTCAGACTTTTACTTACTGACCCTTCTCCTCAGGTGTGGCGTAAATGTGCAATGAGAATCTTCACCGTGGCTCAGATGGAGGATAATTCCATCCAGATGAAAAAAGATCTGGCAACTTTCCTCTATCACCTACGTATCCAAGCTGACGTGGAAGTTGTTGAGATGGTAGGATGGATCAGATAAAATCATAAATATCTGTCATCTGTGTTTAGTTTTTGTAATTGATCGCTCTCTCTTCTCTTCTATTCTCCCACAGCACAACAGTGACATCAGCGCCTACACCTATGAAAGGACCCTGATGATGGAGCAGAGGTCACAGATGCTGCGACAGATGAGACTCTCTAAATCTGACCGGGAACGAGAGGTAACGTCTGGTCACTTTTGTTGAACAGTAACTAAACATAGGAAAAAAAATGGTTTGTTAAGAATAATTGTCCATCTGTGAACATTTGTTGATATTGTTCACCAGAGTGATTTCACTGGTGAAATAGAACAAGTCACATATCACAGTAGCAGAGAGAGAATTTTATCCTGTTTATCCTCTAAAATGTTGAACGAATTGGGAAATATTCACTTGTCCAAACAGGGGGAAACATTTGTGATAATAATGTAACTTATTAGTCATACTAGAATAACTTCTCTGAGAGTTTTCCTGCTCATTTTTACATTCGTTATCCATTTCCACTGATCTCCTCAGAGGGTGCGATGGAGTTTTGATGATGTAAGTTCACTGGCAACACCAGTGAAGCATCAGCTCAAGTTAGATTTTGTTTTAGCTGACATAGAAAACCCCAGAATTCCCATAACAACTGAATCCTTCAGAAAAATTTTAAAAAATTCACTCATCCAAGTAATGTTTCATACAACGTTACAGTGTACAGGAAAGCTTTAACATTTCATATTAAAACATCTTTGTTTATCCGAAGGATTCAGTTAGAAGCCTTCATGTCTGTTTGTAATCTTCAGCATGGCATCGACGCAGACTTAGCTGTGTGCTCCCCCTGCTGACCAACCACGAGAAAAGAACCATCAACTTGAGTGAAAACATGGCTCAGAGGGGTGACCTAGAAAAACAGACTTTTGCCTCTTACTAATGGCATCGTGTATGTAAATGTATACCCACTTTTTGCACTCATACCAAAGTCCATTCAAAAATCAGAGCTTTGACATTACAGCAAACGACACACACTTTATTCACTGCTGCCCCGTCAATAAATTCAAGTGTGTTTGTTTTTGTCATTTTGTATTTACATTCTTTTGACAATGTTAATATTTAGAGCCAGACTTAACAAAGGAATCAGCAGTATATAAGCTGCTACCTGAATGTCTCTTTTCTCAATTGAATTCTGAATGGCACAGGTTTTTTTTTTTCGGTGTGTTTTCATTTGTAGCAGTGTTTTCAGAGCGTCTTCTAGATTAGACTGGTCTGTCGTGTTTCTGTATCAGCAGGTTAGGTATTGTCTGTAGTTTATCTTTCCCCAGGGTGCAGAAACATCACAGGTAACACAAACAGCTGCAGAAAGGTAAAAGAGGAACAGTGATGTGTTAGAGAGTGTGATTCACACTAGAGCGGCAGCGATTAATCAGTTTTGGATTTATCTGTTACTGGTTTGCAGATTAATCATAAAAGAATACTTCTGGTAAACACATTTTACAAAGTTATGTCATGTCAACACGACTGTGTGATTGACTTTGGGATGTAATGAAATATTTTCTTTCTTTAAGCTAACTTAAAAAAAAACAAACATTTGAATAAGCCTTATCAAAGATAGTACTTTATAAACTTTACTTTAGGACAGGACAAATACAATTGTGAGTCCTCCAACGTTTCATTCAGATTTTAAATTAAATTATGTTAAAAAATCTCCCCCAAAATTTTACATTTGTTTCAGATAATGGTTAAAGTACTAAATGTCGATTTAAACATTTTTGCACACCTTTTTCTAAACTTTTCTAAACCACATTAGGCCCAGCTGGTGAAGGACCGCAACTCAATGTTGCGTCTGACTAGCATCGGCTCCGACGACGATGATGACACAGACGGTGTGGAGCGAGACCGTCCAATCAGCAGTGGCGCCAGCAACTCAGATCACCACCGTCGAGTTCAGATGACCTGGACCAAAGAGAAGACGTCCCAATTCAGATCCACACACTCGGGCTGCTCCACGCCTGAGGGCTTCAGAGACATGCTCAGCATCCGGCCGTGAGTGTAATGAAAATGTTAGAAGTTTTTTGTGTTAAAAAAAACGTGTTCATTTGGGACTTCTTCTTCTCTGTTTGCAGAGATCACTCTAATGTCCGACGAATGCACACTGCTGTCAAACTCAATGAAGTCATTGTCAACAAATCTCACGATGCTCGACTCGTCCTCCTCAACATGCCAGGACCTCCCAGAAATACAGAGGGAGACGAGAACTGTATCCTTTTTTTGATCATTTGACACAAATGTCAGTGTTCATAATTTGTCCATATGTTAACATTTACAAACTTAATTTATAATACTCCGACATGTTTGCTGATTTGCTCTTAAATTGAAAACGTGCCTGACTTCCTCTCTGTTGCAGCCAAAAACATAAGCCCGCTAAATTCTATGCTGGCCAGTTAAACCAGTGCTAGCTATTGTTCTTCAAATATCAAAAAGCTATTTTTTTTAGATGAAGAGAAGAAATGTTTTTGCAAACTCTTGGCTCACTCCTTTAAAAAGACTCTGCTAGAGAAATTAACATTAGCTATGTATGGATCAAGACGTTCTAAATGAACATAAACTTAGTTTAAAGCATACCTAGTTTACGTTATAAAATTGACAGTGTTAGTAGTAGTAAACAGCTATCTTCCTCATGCTGCTAACACAAGTATGAAAACGTTTGCCCTGACTTACCAAACAGATATGGAGTTTCTGGAGGTGTTGACAGAAGGACTGGAGCGTGTCCTGTTGGTCAGAGGTGGAGGCAGTGAGGTCATCACCATCTACTCTTGATTGGTCTTAAGTGAGGTCCACATGACCAGTGAGTGAAAGGAGGGGGACAGAGGGAAGAGTGGTGAGGTCATCATTCATCATCACGTCCTCCAAACGTTCAGAGCCTTTTCTTTCATTTTTAATACTTTTCTGTCACAGTCAGTGTTCCATTCCACTTGTCTGTGTGAGAAAGTCGGAAGTCTGCTCGGTTGCTCACAGACAGAAACAGCGTTGTATTGCCATTCATCAAGACCTCGAAGAGACAAAAATGTCAGGCGAGACTCAGGGTTTGAGGAATTTCTTTGTACAGAATGTATTTGACAAACAGATGCGACTGCTGTGAGCTGATCCTGAGGTGTTTTTTATTTGTTTTCTTTTCTGTTTGAAGTACAATTCTGAGAAGGTAATATCTGGACTCTTAGAAATAGTCAAAAATAGCGCTGTGGTTTTGAGCCTGCCAGAAAATGTCACAAGACATTGCATTAACACTGGAATACAGTACAGCTACAGGTGTTTGTATAAAACCTCAACATTTTACATCCACAGTTACATAAAGGTAAAAAATATGTAATGCAACTGAACAGAATTCTGCTGCTGTTCTATCAAGATTTACTGTTAGCTTGTATGGAAAACCATTTCTGCCTGAAAAAATGGTTCTACACTACTTAAAATTAAAAACAAGTTATTTGCCCTGTATACTACAGGTTATCACATTTATAAACCAAAGCCTCAAAAATAGACTACATTCTTAAAATGCAATCTTTTTTTCAAAATAATAACATCTGATAACTATCAATTGTATTGGGATTTTTTTAGAGTCATTAGACCAAAAAAATACCTTGGAGAATTTGACAATATACAGCTTTAAAGCGGCTTAAGTACCATGAAGTAATCCAACTGATGAATAAGTCTTAAATGTATGTTTTTATATTTACACACATTACTTAATTTGATTGAGTAATAATGTTTTACAGTTTAAATTATACTTATTTTAGTACTGTTATATTATTTTCTCTTATTTTCCATGTATGATATCACTTTTGTGTACACTTTATCACATAGGCAGGGTTTTTAAACAGAAATGTGTTTCAGTACATTATACGGCACCAATGTAATTATCACTGTAATAAGACAATTCTACTCTGTACCTGACTTGAACATCTGTATGTAATCACTTAACACCAGCAGCGGGCGCTGCTCATGTTGGCTGCATGATTCAGTACTCGGGCTACTCTGAACAAAGGTGGGCGGGGCTATCGTTACGAAAACACATTTACAGAAACAGACATCACTAGTCAAACCAGCGTTCGGAGGTGGTTCCTCTGTTTTCGTGCCATAATTTGTCTTTTTGTTGATCAAGTTAATAGTTGGCGTGTTTGTTTGACAGTCAAGCCTTTTCTTTCAAAACAGTGATGGTTGTGGAGGAAGAGTCAAAACCCTGCACTGCATGCTGTCAAAATGACTACCTGTGTGTATTTGTTGTGATTTTGCTCAGTAAAGCAATTTAATGTGCTTTGTTTGACACTGTTTTCCTTTAAAATGAAATGTATTTGCTGCACTGTGTATTCCTGAAACTCCCTTCCATCCATGTGT